AGCAGCCATGACTCGTCATGACCATCCCTGTCCTCAGATGTGCTCTGATGGTTAAGAATACATGAGAACAGGTAAGCAGAAGTGAAGAATGGAAAAGACTGACTTCTCTGTGTTTTCCATTCTCCTACTGTCACGTGAGGCTGAGCTTGGAATAGCATACTAGCTATTTCTGTAGTATGCAGTATGTACACTGAAATAAAACTGGTGTAGAAACAATTTTCACTCAGAAATTGTGCAACTTAAATTGTGTAAACTTAACAAAGAATTCAAAAAATAATTAAAAAACAAAAATAAATCACATTAAGTTAAATGAATGAAATATGGAGTTTTGGAGTAGAAAGACTGAAAAGGTATTTTTTTTAATCTGTAAAATGTGCTCCAATAATCATTGTTTAACTTACAATTTTTGCAGTGTACTCTATACTCTTCAAATGTTCTGTACACATGGAATACTCTGAAATGTGAGGTATATAGCAGAGCACACTTCGCAGGTAATGCATCCCAGAATGCAATACATCAATATAAATAACATCAAAATAATATTTAATATATCTGTCTCTGTATAGGATCCCTGGTTTTTGTGACTTGCAGAGACAGTCTGTGTTTTTATAAAGTATAGGGAACCAAAATGTTGGATTTGATAAAAAAAAAAAAGTGTTATTGTTCTTTTCAAATGTATGCATACGGTTGGACAAAAACTCATATAAAACGTCAAGGAGAATTCAATCATATATATTTACAGTGTGACACATTATATTATTATATTAAAATAACATAATAATAATAATATCAATATTTAGAAAAAAATATATAAATATAAATAATATCAAAACAATATTTAATATATCTTTAATATCTCTTTCTTGACTCATATGATCTGATTTGCTGAATTAAATGTGCAACAATGTGACACCCAGGGTAAACTATTTAATTATAGTTAATTAAAACTAAAGCTGAAAATTGAAAACATTTTCAATACTTTTAAAAACATAAACATTAACTGAAATAAAATAAAATATAAAAACTTTTTTTTTCATTTCAGCTAGTTTCCAAGGCAACATTTCTCATTTCTCAACTTAAAAGCACAATATGTAATTTTTGCGCTAGAGGGCGCGTATTCAGAATAAATAAATAGACAAAGGTGTAGTTTGATGACGCTGTGACTGAGCGTCACCGGTCTATTAAAACGCACAACATATTAAAGCGTCTTTGGTGTTTCCGGAAATCGAGGGGTTATGACGTCATTAGCAGGCGACACAATGACACTATGGACACGGTCTGTGTCACTAGTTAAAATTGCTTATTTCTCTGGATTTAAACATTCTTCGAAACATTTGGGATAATGTAAGTACACAAGTCAGCAAAATATATAACACTGTTATAGTGGTTTTTGGATATTTTAATAAAAAAATCGTACATATTGTGCCTTTAAGTACTATCATAAATAAAAGTAAAACTGAAATAAAAATAATAAAAAAAAGAAGTAAACATATATTAAAAAACAAAAACTACTACAAAATGACAAAAACACACAACAAAACCACTAAAACTTTAACAAAAATAAAAATGAAAATTATAAAAATAAAAACTGATTCAAAATATTTATAATAGTATCTCAATCAATGATACTAAAATAACAATGGACTGACAATAATGTAGCACATTATCATTTGAAATGTTTATGGATGCATATACTTTTATAAAAAAAATATACAGTAAAATACAGTATACTATGAATTTATACTATGTAATTGTACATTAAAAAAAGTTTAGACAGGGTGGTTTTCAGTACTGTATTACAGTAACACATAGTAAAGACCTCACAACCCGTTTTGATCATGTGACAGTGGGAATTAAGGCCTCTTGAGGGATGAGATTTTGTGAAACACTATTAAAAGCACATCAGTGTACCTGCTTAGAAGCGTCTCTCAGTGGAGTGGAGGGAAATCCTCATCAACATGACCTACATTCTGTGGCAGTGGGTGGTGAGCAGTGAAAGACACAGACCCCAGGCCCACTGATGAATACTCACAAACCCATGTCCAGGAGGATAGGATAACATTTCAAAATGAAATAAATTCCAGACTCAAACTGCCATAAAAACATACAGTTGAGGTCAAAAGTTTACATATGCAGAAACTGCAAAATGTCAATTATTTTACCAAAATAAGAGGGATCTTACGAAATACATGTTATTTTTTATTTAGTACTGACCTGAATAAGATATTTCACATAAAATACTTTACATATAGTCCACAAGAGAAAATAAAAGTTGAATTTATAAAAAAATAACATGCATTTTGTATGATCCCTCTTATTATATTAAAATAATGAACATTTTGCAGATTCTGCAAAGTGTATGTAAACTTTTGACCTCAACTGTACATAATAATGACAATATGACAAATAGACAGCCGTGATCAAACATATTTACACTTTAATAAATAGCAAATGTTTCACCTCAAGTTATAAATTTACTTGTTTCTCTTTTTTTAAATTACATAATTACATAATTTTTTCCCCTCATCAGTTCATCATTCATTTGACATGGGACTGTAAGCCAAGTGTCTTTAAAGATTAATGTGGAGAGACTAGGTTTAGCAGAAAGAAACGAGAAAGAATTTCAGCTAGGTCTCTTGTCTGCTTGATTACAATCTCTGCGTATCGCATCGCTTCCAGTAACCAGTCAACAAGTCAAAGTCCACGAGTCCAGAGTCATGGCCAAAATCTTGCTGTTCTTTACAGACAGTAATCAGCAAAGCAATCTCACGTGCCCAGGCCTCCTCAAGTCCTTCTCCCAGGGTTCATTTACTGGAAAACCCCTGTGAAGCTTCATTAGGTTGTTGAGCGAAGATCAGCAGTGTTATTTTAGTATCACTTATATACTATCTTGAATTAGATTTTATTTTTGTATTTTATTTTAAATGTTAAAGTTTCAGCATTTTTTATTTTATTTTTTCATTTTATGTAATTTAGTTGTCTAATAAACCTGTCATTGTATATTATGAATATTGTTGGCGCTGTGACTAATTGCTTTTTTCCCCCTCTTTTTAAGTCACTTTGGTTAAAAGCATCTGCTATATGCATGAATGTAAATTTATTACTTTTTAAAATTTGTATTTTATTATTTTTCATTATTATTTTATACTATTGTTATTCTTAGTTATTTTAGTACGTCAAGTTAAACTAAAGGAAAAATAAATGTTGCCTTGGCAACTAGACTTTTTTAATGTTTTATTTTAGTTTTTTTTTTTTTCTCCCTGGGTCTAGTTTTACTTTTACTTTTAGTTAATGATAATAACCCTGGTTCATGGCACTTGTCAAGGCACGCTATAGCAATTTTGCAAGGTGCACTTTAGAAAAAAAAAATTCTTACATTTTCTTACAACTCAATTTGTACAAATTTGCCACTTTCAACAAGATTTAAAATAGTTACATTTTCTCATGAGACCGAGTTGGGCTGGTTGTTAAAATACTGAGATTAATGTAACCGGTTACACTTTATTTTAAGGTGTCCTTGTTACAGTGTAATTATACATTTAAGTGCTGAGTAATATTAATTAACTACATGTACTTACTATATGGTTAGGGTTAGGATTAGGGTTTGACTTAGGGTTACTTGCATGTACCTATGCATGATTAATTGTTATTATAATAGTAAGTACATGTAGCATGTGTAACAAGGCCACCTTAAAATAAAGTGTTACCATATAACCTATAATAATTGAGTGACCACAAAGGTCCTGTATGGTACTATTTACTGACCAGTCCCGTACTGTACATCCCAGTTGTAGTTTTCCATCACACAAGTCCATTTGACAAATTTGTAGTTGTGTGAACTGTGAATGTCTGTTCCAGCTCACTGTGAAATGCTGGAAATGATGCACACCTCTTTGGCCAAGAAAGCAAGTTTTATAGCAATAAGGCTGGGATTACATTTTCAGGCAATCCTTGCTATTATAATTCATAATGATGTGTTTTTTAAGGAGATTATTTTGCGAATAGAAAATCCTCACCCCCATCTGACCTTAATGTTTGCATGTGCTTCCAGCTGGCTGAAAAGGAGCCTATGTAATCTGTCAGACATGTTATTTCAGAGTTTATTTATTTATTTATGTATTTTTTTTTTATGAAAATAAATAAATACTTTACTTTTAATGAAAAGTAGAAGTAGAGACAGATCTCCTGCGAAGACCTTGTCAACTAGACAGCCATCAGGACGGGAACCAAACAATTCCTCTGCACAATCTGACTTGTGTTGCAGCCTGGAATTAAACCACACCATGCTGGTTTCGTCTGGCCAGAGGAGAACTGGCCCCCCAACTGAGCCTGGTTTCTCCAAAGATTTTTTCTCCATTTCTGTCACCGATGGAGTTTTGGTTCCGTGCCACTGGTTTTGGCCTCTTATAAGTCCGCTGCTCTATCCAGATACACCAAGCCAATCCAGATACACCAAGCCAATTTTAAGTCTTTTTTTCCCAATTAGTTGGGGGCGCTTCATTTCTGGCAACATTGTTCATTTTAGTTGATGACATCACTGAATCAACAATGAACTGACCTTAACTGAAAAATTGTTGTTATTGTCATCTTGCATTATTGACAAACTATTTTCCTGTTTGACACTGTAAAGCTGCTTTGACACAATCAGTATTGTATAAAGCACTATATAAATAAAGAAAAAAAAAAAAAAAAAACTACAATACTACAAACTACAAAAAAGTTACTACAATAATACCAGTAAATATTGTAATAACATTTCTGAATGTTACAAAAACACTTTGCATATATTATATTATATTATATTATATTATATTATATTATATTATATTATCTCTCTACTAGTTATCTTTAACTGTTTATTTTAACCCATTCATCAGTATATACCTTGTCATGACAACTTACTCATTCATTTTTAATGTACCTTTTTCATAACTATTTAATGTGACTGATTTTCGATGGCTGGTTTAGTGCGGAGGATTTTTTCCTGACTTGTTAAACTTTCATGAGTTCACTCCATCTTTAACGAGTCTCTTTGATGGAAAGTTCCGTATATCTGCAGAGACCAGTGTGTTGAGATGGTTTAGTTTCTTGTAAAGGAAGGTCTTAGTTATTTTTGGCTTGGTGTATCTGGATAGAGGAGCGGACTTATAAGAGGCCAAATATGTAATATGTCATATTTACAGCCCAGCCACATGAGGAACTGGAAATGGATGGGTCACCAGGAAGAACAACTTCCTGCATTTCCTCAAAACTATAGAGAAATATGTCAGCACATACAGTAGATAGCTATAATTGATTTATATCGCACTGATCTTAACGCTTTTTTAGAATCAATATAATGCAGAATGTTCGACTGTTAAAGCAATAAAGACTGTTAAACCCAAAAATGAAAATATGCTGAACATATACTTACCTTCAGGCCATCCCAGATGTAGATCAGCTGTTTGGATCTCATTCTGACGGCACACATTCACTGCAGAGGATCTATTAGTGAGCAAGTGATGCAATGCTACATTTCTCCAAATCTGTTCTGATGGAGAAACAAACTCATCTACATCCTGGACAGCCTGAATTTTCAGCAGTTTTTTTTTTTATTTTGTGGTGAACTATTCCTTTAAGAGCTTTGTTGTTCTATATTGTAGAGCATGAAGTCTGAGTTTACTCATAGAGATAAAGAAGAATGATTCCGTCAGACGGGATACAAGGTAAAGTAAAGATGGGTGTAACATAAATATTCTGAATCTCTGATTAAACATTAATTATAGTTTGTACTAGGATCTGTCCAGTAAATTGCATTTTTTTAGTGCAAAGCTAAACTTAGAAAGCGTCTAACTTAGAAAATTAAAATTGCATTACATTACAAAGAGCCTACTGTACAAGAACAAGAACAGATTTCAACTTTAAAATCCGTTTTTAAGAATACATCTATTTATGTACATCATGAGTTATTTCTGGCATATGAGGCAGCTGAAACAGAAAGAAAAAGTAATGTCTCCTCTCCTCTCAATACTCCAGTGATTTACATCAGCCATAAGAGGAGTAGCTGACATCTATAACCTGATGTCACGTAGTTGTTAAAATGCATCTGAAATATTCTTACGTTTCCACTTAGGCATGTGTTGACATCTGTTCTTCACAAGTATGTGTGCCATGCACGTACACACCACACACACACACACAGAGACACACACATACATAAATGAAGACATGGCATGCTGAATAGTTGCATTCCTTGTCTTGTCTAGAGGTTACAGTCATCTTTCTCTCACACACACAAACATACACACAAATGTGTTCATCGATTATTTCAACTGGATTCACCATAGTTCTGTCTTGATAGCACTTCTAAACAGACAGAGATTGAAAAGGTCATAAAACTTGTCTTCAGCACCTGAAAATTTAATGACCTACTTCAGCAATGAAAGATGGAGCCTTTCATTTTCATAATCAAAGTAAAACGATATATACACATACCGTTCAAGAGTTTGGGGTCTGCTTTTATTTTTTTTGAAAGTCTCTTATGTTCACCAACCAAAGCTGCATTTATTTGATCAAAAATACAGTAATATTGTGAAATATTCTTATTATTTAAATAACTGTTTTCTATGCGAATATATTGTATAATGTAATTTATTCCTGTGAATAATTCCGAATACCTCAAGCGTGAGACGGAAATGTTACGCCCCTCACATACTGTTGATGCCGTGTCCCGGCCGGAGCGACGAGACAAAAACATTAAAACCCATTATAAACGAGGCATTTGTTGCATCCAGTGGGGACATAATTACTGATTATAATGACTTATACTGTCTTTTTACGCGTTGCGTTGCATTGCATCGCGCCACGTAAACATAAAACCATGTCTGCATATGTGATCGGAGAAATGACAAACACCAAGCGCTACTCTACACTGCTCAAAACTTGCGTTTGAATCGTCAGTGGCAAATTCTTTAA